CAGGCAATGTCAGGAGCAGGCGCTTCTCCTGGATTCTCCTGTCCATCCCATGGGGCTAGCCCTCCCTCCGCGGTGGAAGGAGTGAAGCTACTCTGGAGAATTTGAGCCAGAACGAGCTCAGGCTGGGGGCACCAGCAGCACAGAGAGGAAATTTGGGGGACTGCGTGAGCACAGGGTGAGCCTGTGGGAATCCACGCTCTGAATGACGAGAGCTCTGCCCAGGCCTCTCTCCTCCCTTGGCGCCCAGAACCCTGGGACCAGGCTGATGTCCCAGAACGGGACGTGGGAGAATCCCTCTGGAGAGAGGGGCCAGCCACAAAGAAAAGAGGACAGACACTCATGACTGTGGTTGCCCCCAGATATGACGGGCCCCCAGCTAATCATCTTAAAGTAAGTCTATGGATGACAACAGGCCCCCTTCCCCAACACACACACACACACACACACACACACACTCACACACACACTCACACACAAACACACACACTCACACACAAACACAGATATGGACACACGTATACTTATTGATAGAAAGTTGAAAAATACTGGCACGTTCTGGGCACACATAGTTGAAAGGGTTAAAGAGAATAAAACGGGGCAGAGAAAACTTCTCTCTCTCACACACACACACACACACTCTCAGAGCTGGCAATCAATTTTTTAATGCCAAGCTCTTGGCACTACACTCTTGGCCATGTGACTTACGTTAGCCTTTGGGACATTAGCAAATATGACACGAAAGAAGGCGTGGCAGCTGTGCATCACCCCCTGCTCTTGGTCCTGTGGTTGGAGTCTGGAAACCACGAGAGAAAGAGCATAAGCTATCCTGCTGGAGAAGCCATGGGGCCCGGCCGACAGCCTTCCAACCACCCAATCTGTGACTGAGGCCAGCTCAGGCTGGAGCCATGAGATGACCACAGGCCAAGGTGCCACCAGGCAGGAAGTCAGGAAACCCACCCTGCTGGACACAGTGCAACCTGCCAGCCTACGAAGCGGCGAGCAGATGGAGTGGGTGGTTTGTGATGTGACGGCGGAATCTGAGACAGACTTGAAGGATGTGAGGAAGTCAGCTACATGGTCCTCTGGGTGGCAGAGAGTTCCAGGGGGGGCCTCCAAGGGGCACGCACTGTGTGGAGAGGATCTGCCCAGAGGCCAGCAGGACAGAGCCTGGGACAGGAGGGCAGAGCCAGAAGGGGACAGTATCATCACCAGATGGGCAGGCCTTCCAGGTCCTGGTCAAGATAGGTTTTTACACTAAGAGAGATGAGCCCTTTCCAGGTCCTGAGCAGGGGAGGGGCCTGGTGTGACCACATCCCTATGACGCCATTCAGCCTGTCCCAGGATGTGCCCTGGGTTTCCTGGAAACATCTGCCTGGGCCGCAGGTGGGGTGACTAGGCAGGAATCCTTCCCAGGTGCCTCAGAGCCTCACCACCAGGGCCATGCCTCTGGCATGGTGATGTGAGTTACCAGGATGAGGTTGCAAACCGGTGATGCAGCTATGCTCCCCTTCAGCCTCTATCTGTTACCTGGAGCACATCTGGGAGCAAACGCTTTCCAGCAGCTCATGTCCCTCTGGGGTATAACTTGGTAAGGAAGGCTGGTCACGTGCTTGAGCCTTTCCTTTTATTTACCAAGTTTTGGAATCCTGAGTCAGTTTCCAATGATCAGCCAAAGGTGACCAATAAGTGTTTTACTTGATGGATGTTATGAACTGGTGGTTTTTACATAGCCAATGGGTCCATCCTTTGCAGTCATTGTTCTTATACAGATACTCATCCCTCGCCTTTTTTGGTCTGTGGAGGCATCTTTAGGTTCGTTCTTGAGTCTCTCCTACATGATCCCAGGAGTCACGGAGAGCTTCCTGGCTTTCTGCATAACAAGGTGCTCCGGGCTTATCTTGTGCATGTTTGCCCCAGACTGTAAGCCAGCCATTTCTTCAAGGAGGGGCTGCAGTCGGTCTGGACACTGTGATGGCTCAACGTCAGCTGACTGTCACTGGGTGGCTCAACGTTTCTGGTCTTTTCGGTGGTCGGGGCCAGGAAATACATTGTTTAAGAGAGAACATACCATGAGTTCATACTGATCTTTTAAAAATTCAGAACCCCATGGTCTTAACTTTCTTCACTTCATCCATGCATCTCTTTTCTTTCAGGTTGGAAATCTTGATTCCCAAAGACAGAAACATAATGACTTATTTGCTTTAGCTTACAGTTTCAGGATAACAACAGCAATATTGTTAAAAAAATGTGAATACAGTTAATACAGTTTACGCCTTTTTAAAAATTTTTTCCCCTTTAGAGTATGCCCCAGGAGAGGTGTATAGTCAAATTATAGTGTTTTAAAACTTTCTTAAATTATTTCTGTCTGCATGGTTAAGCCACCAAACTGATACAAAACTAGATGCATTTGTTTGACTTGTTTTTTGATTTTTTTAGGGATTTCTATTTTGTTCATTTTGACTTAATTTTCATAATTATGCATTTATATTGATTCCCAAATCAAATCTGTAAGTTTTCTGCAGAGAAACCTGGCTTCTGTCACAGCTCCTACACCCTGCTCTCTCCCATTCTCCTTACGTCATGGTTGAGCTTTCCATTCCCCCCACCCCATTGTTGTGTTTTAATTGAGATTTGGTATAAATTCCAAGCCAAAAAAAGATCATAATATGAGTTTACTGCAAGAACCACTTTGATTAAGTCTAAAGGCATTTATATGTGTGTGAAAGGCCAGCGCGAGCTACACATGACAAACGAGAGTGATGTCAAGCAGACAACACACCCTCCAGGTCACAGTCGGAGTGGGGGTGACTCAGTCGGGGTCTGCTGCAGAGAACAGGACCCACACTGGCCGGTTCAAGCAGGAAACCACTTATTAGAGGCCCTGGTAGAATCATGTGGAGCTGAATGAACAGGCTCCGCGTAGAGCTTTGGGGATTGACTTCCCGAGCTGCACTGCAGACTGGAGCCTCAGGAGGACAATGGTTCCAGAAGTGCCCGGAAGAGAGAAGCTGCGCTCCCGGCTCCCAGCTGTGCCACTGCTGCTGTGCTCCGCTCAGAAGATGCATGTTCACACCCTACCTCCAGATCAGTGACCAGACGCCGTGCTGCCAACTGGACTTAACCAGGACCCGCCGAGTGGGTGGCCCCTTCTCCCTTCCGCGCCCTTAAGCGTGCATCCGACAGACCAGGGTTGCCAGGGTCTGAGAAAGGTCATTTTGAGCTTCCCACCCACTGCAATTCAGAGAGAAACAGTAGAGGAAGGATGGAAAGGAGAGTGGGCACCCACCCACTGGACATACGGAGAGAGATGTCGTGGTACCATTGTCCTATGTGCAATGGCAAAGCCAATGTAGCGAAGGCCTGTCATATGCCTTCCTGAGCCATCACCCAAGGAGAAATCTTTCAGGGGGCGTTTAAAAGAGAATCTTGCCTACCTGTGACGCCAGCCCTTTCTAGGGACCCCTGCACCATATTGCTGTAAGTTAGGCTCGTAGACCTGACTTCCAGGAAGTGCTCTGATGCTCATCACCAGTAGGAGAGACGGACACAGGGGTGTGGAGCAGGCTGCTTGCAGGCAGGCTCCTCTCCTCCCTAAAAGCTCCTGGTTTGCCAGGGAGGGGTGTCCCTGGGCTCGTTTAAGCTGGACAAGCAACGAGGGGACTGGGTCCTAGGACTCCCAACCCAGTGACACATGGAGTTAGTGAAAGAGCAGCAAAGCGCTGCTGTTGGCTCTGAGCGGGGCAGAGCACACCCTGAAAGGCAATCCTGGGTCACGCAGGCCCAGGAGAGGCCCAAAGCCCAGGACGCCTGTGTCCCGGCGCCGAAGGGACCGCAGGGGAAAGGCTCCTCTCGCTTTTTGTTCCTGACATTTTTACTTGAGAATTTTAAAGAAAGGGGATATCAGAGAGCTATTTTGCTGCGCTGGATAAACCGAGGAAGGGGTAATCAGGCCGGCGGCTGTGGCGCTGAGCAGGGCGGCTCCAGAGGACCCTTTAGTCACAGGATTGCGAAGCCCGCGGGTCAGGAAGAAACTAGAAGCAATTAGCCCCGCTAGGTAGCCAGGTCTGTGTGAGGGCCTGCTCTTCTCTCGCCGGCTGCTGGGGAAACGTCCCCTTGAACAGCCGGCCAGCACAGACCGCCCTCCTCTAGTTTGGCCCAGGCGAGTGCTCTGCAGCCCCGAGTTCAACTTCAATAAAAGGGCCCGGCCCGCCCTTGATCTCGCGGCTTGCCTGACAGCCCTGCTCAGGCCCGGGCCTAATTGAGCCCGGGTCACCTGGGAATAGGTTCAAAGGCATCGAAGCCAGTAAACCACCTCCAGGCCTCGAGCCAGAGCGGCCTGGGGAACAAAGAGTACCCCCCCCACCACCACTTCAAACGGGCCCGCGCTCGGCGTCCAGATGGCGCAGGGCCGGGG